TAAGATACTTACTTCTGGTAGAAAACCACTGAAAATGGAGTGCAAGGCACAGCAGAAAAGAAAGAACTCTCCCAGGTACATATACATGTCAAAAGCTAATGGGTGACTTCACATTACAGTTTTAATCATAAGTTTACCTGCATCATCAGTTTACAGTTCTAGGCAAAGCTAATTTTGTACAGAATTGGACCAGGCAAGTGAAGCAGAGGTATTCTGCTGACTGAGAGCAGACAGACAAGGGTGAAACAGATCCTGCATCTCAAAGACATTCACCCTTCACCCTTAAGCTAAATCCAAATCATTGGCTATTCAAGATCAAATTTAAAGAGTTTCCTAATCACATTTAAACAGTGAAAATGCTGTGTGTCTACAAAACCAAAAGGAAAAAGTTCTAGCCTTTTTTAAGATGAAAGAATTTCCACAGGGGGCTGAGAATAGGGAATGTCTGTCCAAGAAACAAAATATCACTTGAACATTTGGAAGCTATTACAATGGAAGTTAAAATATTTGAAACAGAGCTTTTACATTAACACAGCAGTGCTATCATTCACAAAAAAGGCTAAAATATTCCAGTGGCACTAACTTTCTTCTCCCAAGTCTCCGCATACCATCTTCAATATCCCAATACATCTTTGACATTTGACACTTCCACACATCCTCCTCTTTGTAAAACAACTCCCTATGATGTCTTGCTATTTCTTTGCAAAGTATGATGATAGTGAGATATAGAAATTTCAAGTCTCAGAGCCTTTTTCTAAAGATGGGTAGTACTAAAAAATTTCACCTGACAACTTGCTTCTTATTTGAGGTGAGCCAAGCTAGCTCTGCTGTGTCTAGCAATTGCTTTCCAATTGATGGACAAAGAAATTTATATGTCAAAATAAAATAAAAAAATATCCCATGTGAAAAACCACAGAAGCCAATGAGGTCCTGGGAAAATACTTTTCACAAGAATTGTACTGTTCACATTGCATCTTTGAGTAACAAGAACACATGCTGAGGTCAGAGGTTTCATCTACACAAGGAAATCAGAAACAAAATCCTGAAAAATCACAGCTCCAGAAAGTTATGCAGTCAAGAGATATTCTGGGTCTTAAATTAATTCAGAAGATTTTATCCACACAGACATGGCCCCAGCATGCATCATGACTGCTCATAGGGCAGAATCCTGGGCTAGTAGCAGTTGGAGGGATGAGTTACTTATGGAAGAAAATACTCTTTTCAATCACAAATTATTCTTATGGATTTCTCAGAGTCTTGAAATATTAGCACCAGGGGAAAACGCAACAATGATTGCACAAATTATTTGTATAAAGACTCTGATATTAAACTAGACACATATTTAAAGACTGTCAGTGACAAAGTTTATTGATCAGTAAGTGGAACAATTCATAAGGAAATGCTGCCTACTGATGTCTATTTACTGCACTGCATGTAACTGATGATCAGCTCAGATTAAGGAAGGTGCATTGACAGAGCAGAATACACAGGCTTTCCATAGCTCACCTTTCAGCCTCAGCTTGGGAGCATGAAGATTTCAGTCCTGTAAACATGCAGTGCCTCCAAAAACCTATTTCTTATCCTGGTCAAAGAGGCACAGGCACTGAAAAAGTCACATTTTGTCTATTACTGAAAGATACCCTTCCCTCAAAGACCAGAATCCACAGTCCTCCACCTTTTTCTCAGACAATCTGTTGAAAGTTTAGCCAGGCATATCCTTTAACACAAGAGGCAGTCTGCAAGCAGTAGAAGACGTACACCTTGACCCAAAGTCCTAAGAATACATCCTTTCATTATTCTAATTGTCATAGCAATAGAAGATTAAATTTGTGTGGCATTTTCTGGAAACTAACAGATCATTTTATTTCCAAAGAGTGTATACTGTTATTTGCTATCATTATCACTTGAGGAAAATCTGCCACTTGCAGCATAAGAGAACACTGACATAGTCAGCTCAAATAAAGATGAAACCTCATAGAAAATGCATCATCCTCGTATGTGGAAGAAATTAAAATAGAAAAGTTTCTGACAGACAAAGCTGGCACAAGCTATATTAGAAATTTCTGTCTAATCTTGAGGTTTCCTGCAGTTGGGAAAACAAAAGGAGCTAGCTTGAACTGCAGAGAATGAAATGAGTAGAAGAACTTACTGAAATACTAGAAAAATCCAGCAAAGATTTGTTATTTACAAAAATGTAAAGGGTGGTAAATAGTATAAATTTGTACCTGCATAAGCTTAGCAACTGAGCAATAAAAGAGTGTGAGCAATATTTTTAAACATATTATGAACAAAAATTCCTTCAACAATACAGTTTAAAAACAATCATGACAGAGTATTATGGGACTTGTGCTTCTCTTTGCAACAGCTAATGTGATACATGCATGTCTGTGCAAAGACAACTGAGTGTATCACCTCAGTTCCAAGCATTCCTTGGAGACAATGAGAAATGTACTGATGATTTCTAAAACAACACTTCCTCCCTAATACAGTGGAACACCCTTTGTAATGGAAAATTCATTCTAACATTTTCAAGCTAATAGTTTGTTTTCTTCAACATTAGCATTGTTGGACTCTGGCTCCAGAAATGAATTTCATCCAGCTGAAATAATGTCAAAATCAGAATTCCTACTGTGCAAGGGAAGTTTAAATCCTGCTGGGAAAAAAAAAAAAGAAAAAAAGAAAAAAAAAAGTGCTGCTAACTTCTTCTGGTAGGGAGAAAAAAAAAGACAATGTAAATAAAATGCTATGAAAACTTTAGCTCTTAAACACTTACTTCAAAAACAGTGAAAAATTCACAACTTAACACTACCTTGACACATGAAGGTTTGGATTACACACATTCCTTGCATTAACTACTTGAATACTAGTTATATGCTAACAGCTATTATGCACACGTTATTAATGCTCAGCTGTAGACATATGGGAGAAAACATTTATATAAATACTATGAATGTCTGAAAGGCTATTTCTTCTTAAAGGATGAAACCAATCCCATGTTAGCCCTTTTCCTTAATATTGTGCATATCTACATTGTATGTTGAATGTAATAATAAAGCTACTGTTAAAAGATAGTGCTTAAGCTACATTGATACCTATAGTCTGTGTGCCATGCTCCCTAGCTGACAAATTTACATGAACTATATTGCCACCCTCCCCATAGGACTCTATTTGCCAAACCTGGCATTTTAAAAGTGAGACAGGCAGATAAGAGGTCGGTGTCAATTTACACTAACAGAAGGACAAATTTCAAAGGTCTTAACACTATGTCACTCAAATAGTTTAAGTTTTTCTGCTAATTTCACAAAAAAAAGCAAGTCTGTGTGCATTGCTGTTACATGAACAAAATAGTTCTGCCAGTGTAAGAGCTCAGTCTCTGCACTTTGAGCCTGCATAACTGCCCACTGCTAAATGCTATATTGGGATTAACCAGCACAGCCCACCATAAATCGGTTTGTTTGCTTGTTTTTAATTTAAACATATTAACAAGGTGTGAAAGCTTATATTATTAGTGCCAAAGCTCTGAGAAATGTCCACTTCGAAAAACTGTGGACAGTTTTTAGAAAGAGGCTGTAAGAAAGTAACAGAGATCTTGCTGAGATAGATGTACCAGTAACAGCCTCATGATGCTTCTTTCAGTAAAGGAAGTCACTTCATGGTGATGCATAACAAAGGCAATTTTTTGCATCTGGAAGCAACTTAAGTTTCATCATATCTCCTCAAACCAGGAAAAAGTCTCTAAAACAATATGTTTAACCTGAAAAACCACCATGCATCCAAAAGAGAATAATTTCTCATCATGCCAATATTCCATAAGAGTGTTCCACAGTTTGGGGGTTAATGAAAAGTTTTTACACTGGAAGATCTTTACGGCTCCAACAGAATTTGATGGAACAATTGCAGATGCTGGGTTCCCATGCCTTAGAGGGACACAATTTTATACAAGATATACTCAACCCACAGCAACACTCAGTGCAGCAAGTAAAATGCTAGATATAGCTTGTGTAAACCATAAGAAACTAAAAGACAACTTTAGAAGGGCACACCTGTGTCTAAATGAAACTATAGAAAACACATAATTGCAAATATCAGCTGCTATTACATTGTCCTAAAGTATCTTTAGTACTATAAACACTGGTGTAACACAGCACCTACTACACAAAACTTGCAAGAAGTGAACGTTTCTCATAAGAAGCTTAAAAGACATTAGAGCTTCAGCATCTCTAAAACCTCATTCCAGTTAGACACCTTAGAGAGGAAGGATGCTGGTAAAGAGGTCTTGCAAAACCTTGACGTGTTCCTTCAAACCCGAGATCATCTGAAACAACTACTGGTTTGCATTTGAACATGTATTTTGCCTAAGTCTACAATCATACTTAATATCTTACCAAAAAAAAAAAAATACTGAGGCAGGACAGGAAAGAGTTCGTAGTCAAAACACCGTCACCTGTCATCCCTCATCTTATTTAAAATTGTGTTGAGATCGAGCCTTTTCTGACAGCGACATGACATGAAGCCGCACACTGCCGCAGCCTGCCTCCCCTCCCGCAGCCGCAGCCCTGCGTCCGTCCCCGCTCCGACCGACCTCGCCGCACAAGTTTACGGGAAAAGGGGCAGTATGTGGCATTTAGGTCCTAGAAGAGATTTACTGCTCGGGCTGTCACTCCAGTCCGGCGGTAGAGGAACAGGCTCCCTTCCCTCCCCGACACCAGGTAGAGCCACGCACTCCGCACCCGCCGCCCCACGGCCGCTGACAGCGCGGGGCCGCCGGAGCCGCGTCCCGCCGCGCCTCTGCCCGCGCCTGCCCCGCTCGCTCCCACCCACCGGCGCGGGCAGAGCGAGGCAGCGCGGCAAGGGACGGGCGCGGAGCCCCGCGGCAGCGCGGTGAGGGATCTCCGCGGAGCCCCGCGGCGGCACGGCCGCCTCCCCAGCGGCGGGGAGCGCTGAACCGCGCCGAGCGCTTCGCCTTCCCGGCGAAGGGGCGGGCAGCCGGGAGCACCCACCGGGGATGGCCAGGTTGGTGAGCGGGGTGCTGTGGAGGCTGCCGGGCAGCGCTGCCATCCAGTCGGCGAAGAGCAGCTCGTTCTTCCCCTGCGACGAAGCCATGCTGCCGCCGCAGCCGTACCGCCGCCGCCGCTCGCTCCAACTCGCCCAGTCCCGGCCACGGCCACCGCCACCGCCACAGCCCGGGAGCGGCCGGCAGAGCCCGCCCCGGGAGCGCGGGGTGCCGCCGGCCGGGCGGCTGCGCCTGGGATGGCGCTCGGGGCCCCGGCGGGCGGCTGGTGGCCCTGGGCCTCAGCAGAACCTCCCTGACCTTGGCGATGGTTCGGCTGAATGCCCCGCGCCGGGACCCGACATCCCTGGCAGTCGGCTCCCGGCCGGCTCATCTGCCCCTGATACGAACGTCTCCTGTTGCAATGGGTTGTTCACACGAAAAAAAAAAAATAAATCGGTGCACCCTAGTTGAGCATGCTGCGAAGATCTAATTTTTTGGCAATAATTTTTTAATCTTCTTTGAGCATGATCCATGGTAATATCTTTTATTATCATCTCTAGCCTGTCTTTGGAGAAACATCTTAGCGTTGCCAGTAAGGAAGCATTTGCTTGGCTGCCTCGGGATGGATGAATGAATGAACCTTATAAAGCTCTGTGAGCCATTTTGAACTGTTAGAACAAGCAGTGGCCTTTTCACCTTCAGCATTACCCATTTTTGTGAAAGCTGTTTATATATGTGTAGAAGTTCATATGGTGGAGCTGTCAAAAACAGTGCCTAGAGAGAGTAATGATTGAGGCAGGTTCACTTTATCAGTCCACTTTGAATTCTTATGAGAGGCAGCTCTGGTTCTGCAGCTTGTGTTCTTACTCAAACCCTTCTATAACAGCTGGGTTTGAAAATAAAACTTCAGGGAACAACTAATAATATCCCTCCCTTCTCTTTCTGTCTAAAGTTTCCAGAGCAAGTATCATGAGAAACTCATCCTTTGGCCACAATTTCATGAAAAGTGAGTGACTATTTCTGAGGTATTTAAATAAAGGAAAGTTTGCTGACTCACTTTTTGCAATAGAAATAGCTCTTGAGGAAGGGTTTGACTAGGGAAATGTGATCATATGGTTGACCTTGGGGGAGATGTTGAGTCTGATTTGAACAATACATAAAAAGGGGGGAGGAGAAAGCAAACAGCCACCAAGGCCTGTCAAGTTTTTGCAGTCCTGCATCCTGTATATGAAGATGCTAATCTGCCCCTTCCAAAATCCCTGGTACTAGCAAGCATGAAAAAAAAGACAAATCCACATTCTGGATATGAAGACAAAAACCTCACTAAAACATGGAAGGTATTACATAAAGGTGGAAGATGTTACATTACATCATCTTCAAAGAATGGACGAAACTTTAGTAAAAATTTCAAGATTTTTAAAGAGCATTGCAGAAAGGTGCAATTAATGGTTCTATCAATATGATTAAATCAAATCAGATTTTTTATTTAAGGGGCAAAATTGTTCATTAATTGCACTGGTCACCTGGAAAATTGCTGATGAACTTTCATCCATTTCACTATGTGGCCTACCTTTTCTAAGAGAAAACTGAAGTATACATCTTTTTCAAAAATTAAACATGTTAGTACTGCTGTTGATCTCTTATGGTCTCTGAGGCTTTGGGGATAGCTCAGAGCACCACCAAACTCATCGCTTTAAAATGTATTAATATGTAAAATAATGTCTAAAACTGCCTTCCAGTAGTTCTTTCTGCTCTGATGAAGACCTGTAAATATCCATCTCTGTACAGACTAGAAACCTGTTGGCATTTGCTTCTGCAAGTAATTAAGGTTTGGTTGTTTTTGGTTTTTTTTTTAACATCCAGAGTAAGATTCTTCATAGTCTGGATTTTAAAACCATGGATACTCCGCTTCATGAATACTGGCCCACTCTAACGCGTCTCACACAAATCATGCTTGAAGAGGTCTGCCTCTGTTTCTAGTGCAAAGTAACTGCTAAGATAGCAGGCTTAAAATATGTCATTGGGTCTCTATGAAGTTGAGAATCACAGGCTTAAATCACAGGCTTAATTTGAAGGGAGGTGGGATAGGAAAGGAGACTTTTATGGGACAGAAAGTGAGAAACATTTATACAGCAAACCAAGAAACTGACTTGGAAACTTTGACTTCAAATAAAATGGTATTTTTTTTAGCTTTTCAGTGGTATGAAAAGCATTTGTCTGTGTATCTGCTTGGGAGGTGTTTAATAATAAAAAAGGCAAACCATTTATCTTGATTAAAGAGTAGCTTATTGTGGTTTAGTTTGAACCTGTTATTTGACTAATTTTCACTGATTTATAAACAACGATAGCCTGTAAATCAAAGCTTTTCATAAATCAAAGCTTATCCATACAAGCTTTTATCCCTATTTATCCCAGTAAGAAACAAAAAAAAATCACATTTTTGGCTATATTATTGAAATTCTTACACATAACAAGTCTGAAGTGTTAAAGAAAGTAGATTCCAGGAATGAAATAACTTAAAAGCTTAAAAATATCAGGTAAAATGAGAATTAAAATCAAGATACAAGAAAATACCATCTTTGCTCTTTCATTCACAGCTATGCTGAGCTCACTGAAGATGCCATGAAGAGGTGGAAAATTGAAATTGTGCTATCTGTTCATCATGTACTGTGTTCTCTCTCAGTGTGTATGAATAGAGACACCTCTGCTTCCGTGGAATGGCAAAACAGAGTAATTTAGCCAACAGGAATGATGCTTCAGCATTCAAAACTAATTACACTATTAAAAAAGACTTACTGTTGGTTTTATTCTCCTAAAAAATAACATTTTAACAGTATACATTTACTGTTACACTTTTTTAATTTTAGCAATCACATAATTTGCTTTTTCATATGTCCTTGGCATCTATTTTAATCATGTGAATAACAAAGGACTAACAGGATCTTTTTCTGTAAGTTACATAAAGTACATTCCACTCTGAAAGGTAAAGAAAAGATTACTTAATGGGGCATTGTATTTCTGTGACTATCCTACTATATAGAAAATTTATTTAGTTACTTTAAATATATTGTTAATGAATTCAAAATTAGTCTTGGAGCTGAAGAATTTGTATTGTTTTAATACTTGAACTTTTTCAGTGGATTCTGCTTCTGAGGTTATTTTCTTCCTTGTTCTTACTACCCAATTCTATTATTAGAAGTTTTTCAGAACAAATCCTGGCTGCTATCCCATGTTTGCATCTCTCGTGACTCTATCAGTAACATTTGGGCAGGAAAGCCCTTCTAGTTGCTTGCAGCTGAGTTGCTAATTATATTTTTGTTACTTGGGAAGAGAGTAGATCCACAGTATTCTCAATTTTGCTACTTCTCATGGCTAACAGGTATAACAAGTGGGACAAGTACATAAAATCTCAACGAGTCAAAGCAGATTGACTGAATGAGATAATTTATTCAATAGCTCTATGGGTGAATAGAAGTTTTGGCAGGTATTTTGTTGTCATTTTATATTTTGTGTGGCTACTTTGAGAATCTCATCCTGCATTCATTAAGCAAACTCTGTTTAGCAGTATTTGTCCTGTCAAAACAGATTACAAAATTTTGCAGTAGTCAGAAACCTTTTAGAAACAGGAAAACAGTATTTTCTTCATTTTATGTGAAAGAATAAATCTGTTTCTGATTTTCAAACAGAAGAAAATATGGTTTATTCTGTACTCTGATTCGTTATTGTCTACTAAGAAAACTGGAGCATCCTTGCTTGTGCTAGTAATGAATCTAAGAAGAAACAATATTTGTTCCAAGCAGCTGACAAATGTCAGCTGGGAAGATGATGGGTTAATATAAAGGTGAGACATACTTTTTTACTTGCATCCTTTATAACCAAAGCAAAGACATTACAAAAATATACAAAAACTTAAATAATCAAAGTGTATAACAAGACAGTTTGTGGTTAACCAAATTCTGGAAGCTTGAAATAAACAGGATAAAAGGCAAATTGGAGTCTTTGTATCCAGTCCTCAGGTGGAAATCTGTTTAACCTTAGCTACTTTTTCTGAAGAGTGTTTATCATGTTTTTGGAAGAGGGTTTGTTTTGTCTGGTTTTTTTTTTGACTTTGTCAAGTAGAATCTTGCTGTCTCACCTAGCATCAAAGCACGCCACTGGCTTTTTTACCTGGTTAAAAACAAAGAAGTTTGGTTGTGTCAGCATTACTGAAAGGGCTCCAATGGCATAATCTAGAACAGCAGTGGCAGAACATAAAAAACCCTATTTTCTCAGAACCAGTGCTATCAGATCACAGGAAAGTCTGCAAATTTGGTGCAGGGAAGGGTGAAAAAGAGATTGTTTTTTATTTCTAGACTAACCTGACCATGTCTGAAGGGTTTCTGTAGAAGCTCATGAACATTTTGTCATGAATAAATGTTTCTGAGACTTGACAAGTTTGGCATGGTTAGGAATTTGCAGAGAAAGCTTGATTCAAGCATTTGAATGTGAGCTCATCCTCTAGGTAGAAAACTATTATTTTATTGAAAACAAAAGCAAAATGAGATAGTTTAGTAGTGGCCTTACCACAGGCAATGCAGAAGGAAGCATCAGTGCTGGTCATAATCCTTGTAGCCTCCCAGCGCGGTGCTGACATGGTTGTAAAAGACCTTATCAACATGAAAATATCTACTTTTAGTTAAAAAAAAAAGCTTTTTTTTTTTAACTAAAAACAAAACAACCCAAAACAACCTCTCCTCTGCTATGTTTCCCAGTCCTGTCAAAAAGGAATGAGAAGTTTTTGAGGTAGTCAGATACTCCATGACTCTACTTAGTTTTGTCAGAAAACACATAAATACAAAATTGTGAACAGTCTAACTAAAATCTTCACTAAAAATTAATAATAGACAAAACATTCCAGAAGATTGTTTGGATTATGTCAGGTCTGCTTGGGCATTGTCGCTAGCACAGACAAATTAGGAATGTTCAAGGCAGGGTAAAGATGGTTAAAAATGCAAGACCAAACCAAGTGAAATAAAAATTTATTTTCATTGACTATATATTGTGTTGTCACATAGTAGTAAATAAAAACAAGTCCATACACAGAAAAATCAGTGAAAGTTGCAGGAATTAAATGGATGAGATAATCAGAAGTAGATAATTCTTGCAGGATTTTACAGTGGACCACCAGAAACAGAAGATGCAATC